TCTATCCAGGAGTCGTTGACGTAAGCTCGATCTAATCGATCTAAACAGGTCGTCGTCCTTACTACCATAACTTTTCGTAAGACGAGCATTAAGCGGCTAAAAGCCAATCGGTGAATGAATACAGCGCAAACAGCATGATAGCAGCAGAAGAGAAACAACCAAAGTGGCGGGACCAGCCAAGCCAACCTAAGGATACAGAAGCAACAAGCCAGATCAAAATCGCTCAAGTTCCTGGAAGCGCTCGACGGGGTCAGCAAAAGATCGCGTCAAGCCAACCGATGCCCAAAAGTCGTCACTGACATCTTCCCTGCGCGCGAGACGCTCCAGCAACGACCGCGCATCACGGAGCTCCTGATCGAGTGGTGGCGGTTGCGGCGACTCCGCGGGTATGAGTGGAGGCATACCCTCGTAGTCATTGGCGCTCACGGATTCCTCTGCTGGTCCATCGAGCTGGGGGATTTGCGGTCTCTGCGGCGCTTCCGTCTCGGCGTCCCGCCAGATGCCGGAGTTGTAGAAGCTGTGAACGACCTCGCTGGCGTCGCGGGATCGGTCGATTACGCGGAGTCCGTAGCGTTCGGTATCGCGCGCAGGAGGTTCGCTGGAGAAGTACGATGGGCGCATTCTTCGGCGAGGGGCGGTCGAGTCTGAAATGTTCAAGCGGTTCCTGCGGGCCTCTGTGCCGGTACGACGGCGTATGCTGCCGCGTACGTCCATCTCTTCTTCTTCGGTGTCGGAGGCTGAGTCGTCCTCCGAGGTATCGCATGCCCGCATGAATTGCTCGTTTTGTGGAGGGGAAGGACGTCGTGATGGCACTGTAAGGTGGGTATGCGACGATGCGGCCGAGTTGGCACTTCCTGCTCGTGAGCTGGGATGCGAATTTGTGAATGAGGCTGCGGCTGCGGCTGATGCGAATGATGACCCCGCACTTGGTGCGACGGGGTCGTCCACGACGGTGGTGAGGAAGCTGTCCCATTGCAACTGATCTTCAAAGGGACTGACGCTGCGATTCCGGTCGCCTAAGCCATCCAGCGCACCAGCTGGACTCCAGGACTCGCGCAGAGAGCTGGCAGGTAGCGGTCCGTCAGCAATGGTGCGGCGACCCATTCTACGCAGCGGAGGAAATGCTACAGCGTGATTCTCGCCTGTCTCGTGGCTCTCCTCGGGCGCATTCACACTATCGCCTCGCGTCGATCGGTCAGCACGGGGGCTCTGAGAACGCGTTGATCGTCTGGTAGTGCGACGGTATGATCTGTATTCGCGCAGGCGTGAAAATGGGTCTTGCGCATCGCGTTGTGCTTCCGTTTCGGGCGTTCGCGACGCTGCCGCTGGCGCAAATCCCGGGGTGAAAGCGGGCAAGGGGCGGTCATGGTCGGGAGTCGCGCGCGTCTCATACGCGCGCATGTAGCCATCGAGGCGATTGCGCGATCGGCGCACGCTGCTCTCGTCGCGTTGTAGAGTAGGTGGGTGTCTCGAAGGCTCGTTGCTGCGGTATTCGGTCCTCGACACTTCGGGGACGGGTGGCGGTGCCAGACGCGCGCGATGCGACGAGCGAGGAATCCATTCAATATGCGGACCGGAGATGAGGAAATCCGTGTCGAGGGCGCTGTGAGGGCGCGGTGACCTGTTGGGTCTGACGCGGCGGCGGATGGGTGAGCGTGAGCCGGCAATGTCAGCCCTCAGTGCGTCTTTCTTCGCGTCTTCTTCGCGATTAATGTTCCATCCGATCGGGATACCCATTGCGCCAAATGTGTGATCTGCTTCGTTCCAAAAAAGATGGGTGAGGTGCGGTGTTGATGGTGACGCGCCGGATGATGCTAATGGGATGGGTCGGAGAAGGAACTAGGGCGGCACCTGGGCAGAGCGGCGCACGTCGCAGCCGCCTAAACCAGGACAGTGAGGCTGAAGGGTCCGGGGGAGGCGCAGAACTTCAAGTGGGATGACAGCGCTGACACTTGTCTCCCAACATTCATATAGCAAACGTCTTTGGTCTAGATTATCACCTCTGAATAGCTTGTCTCAGCTTCACTTTACTGTGTATCGCAGTTCCATGTTCCCACAGCAAACGACCCATCGTCTTCGCCAGGCGCGACCGCGATCGCCAAGCCTCAGTTACCCAATGCAGCAAGGTCGCACCTGTCCGCAGCTTTTGGTCCACTCGCCCCAATGAGTCAACTTAACCTGCAGGTACATCGTTTCAGAACATTCCGCGTCTGCCTGGACCCATAGTTGCCTATGCTACTGTAAACTACTCGTCTCGTGGTCATGATCCAGCCTGGCTTGGAACGGATCAGTCTGCTTCTGAAGAATGTCCACTTTCCGTGGAAATCGATACATGTCGCTGGCACAAACGGCAAAGGATCCATTTGCCACTATGCCTCGAGGCTCCTTTCCAAGCGACTCACAATTGGCAAATTCACATCTCCACATCTCATAGACAGGTACGCACGCTGTCACGTGAGCTAGTTCTCATCTAACTTTTCCAGATGGGACTGTATAAGCATCAACCATAAGCCCGTGGAAGAGGCCCTCTTTCGCAAGATCGAGAAGCACTATCTGGACCTGAGTATAAGAGATGGCATCAGTGCTTCAAATTTCGAAATATTGACCGCCACTGCTTTCCACATCTTCAACGAAGCCAAAATTGACATTGGCATCGTTGAAGTGGGCATGGGCGGAAAGCTCGACGCTACCAATATATTGAACAACCAAGCGGTTTCAGTCATTGCAAAGATAGCGCGAGACCACGAAGGCTTTTTAGGTGATACCCTAGAAGAGATCGCACTCCACAAAGCTGGCATCCTCAGGCCGGATGTGCCCTACCTTGTCAATCCTAAAAATGAGGGAAACGTCAAAGAGGTCATTGAGGAACATGCTCGCAGCATTGGGGCAGGACCTTGTTTGGAATATGACCCCCCGGGCTTTTCGAAGATGCTGTTTGCGAACGAAGACCGGCCACCAAAACCGACCGATCAACGAGAAAATATTGTCCTCGCAGCAAGGGCTACGATGGCAGCAATGGAGAGCCTCGGCAAAGAGATGAAACCGTTTGTGATGCAACAAACCTTGCACGGCGCAAGGAACATTCCATACCCAGGACGACTAGAGCCGGTTCGAGTACCGCCTATCTTTGGTGGGCCAAGCACGGATGGCACGACTGGAGTCAGTCAAAAAGGAGAGTTCATCCTGGTAGATGGAGCTCATAACGCTGACGCTGCCACACTGCTGAGTGGCCACGTCGGACGGAATCTGCGGGTAAGGAAGAAGGTTCCTGGTGTTCAAAGGCCACGCAGGGGATGGCCTATCACATGGGTACTTGCAATGACCGATGGGAAAGATGCACATAAATTCCTGAGAAACATACTACACCGAGGAGACAACGTCGTCACTACATCCTTTGGTCCGGTGGATGGTATGCCTTGGGTGAAACCAATGCATCCAAAACGACTCCTCGCCATAGCAAAATCGATCGAGCCCACTATCACAGGGCTAGCTGTGGAAGAAGGCGGGCCGCTCCGAGCGCTTTGTACAGCAAAATACCTTCGAGAACCCGAAGGACCGATCGTCCTGACAGGTAGTCTGTACCTTGTTGGTGACCTTCATCGTGATTTGCGGGCGAATTATGGAAAGGACTACTGGAACAGACCACATTTTGAGGAGACCAGGAAGAAGTTTGCAGCGATGCTAGAGGAGGAGAAGCACAGAGCCAACCGGCTGCTCGGCGGACCCATCGACCCCTTTGATCAACCTCTTGATTTCAATGTCAGAAAAGGCGAAGAAAGCGACGAGTGGAAAAGGCAGCAAGCAAACCGCGAAAAGCGGAGGGCCATGCAAGAAGAGATCGAGGCTCTTGACCGGGAGATGGAGCTTCTCACAGCCGAAGAGCAGCGTCTCACAAAAGGGCGCACGTCGGCTACAAATAACGACACACCGGCTACAGATCAGCGATCAAATCCACCCCGTATCCACAACCCAGCGATCACTTTGTTAGAGGAAGGCGCACCCCTCCCCAGCAAATACAAGACGAAGAGCCTTGAAAGCGGGGCGAAGATCAGATATCACAAAACAGTGTCGTCGTCACTGGATGAGGAAAAACGGGTGGAGCCTTCTCCTCCTATATATAGGGCACCCCTCAAGGCCGATGAATACAGCCCGACCACCTTGGATAATGGCGGAAGGATAAGATTCCACAAAGTAGAGTAAGTTGCTCAGCCAACAAGAGCGAAGGGCCTACCGAAACTGACCAGTGAATAGGAGCAGGAGTGGCACGCTGGTGGTCAACTTGGGTCACCGTCGGGAGTAGACATTTGATCGGCGCTTCGAGGTCGAAATTCAAACCTGTACGATATGATTGTGTATGAATGTTGGGGTAGCAGTGGATTGCAGTTCGATGGTGACGTGGTATGTGCAGGGAGACACCACTGTGCAAATGTCCTTGTATCTTCTAGGTTCTTCGTGTGTATATTATTGCCGAACTTATCCTGGGGGTGCCTAGTCATTACACAAGTAAAAGTGCTTCAGTACCTATCGTACGCTCTTGACTCCAAGCTCTGTCCCAAAGAGCACAAGAGCGCACGTGCAGAAGCAAGCAGCCGCTCTCCGGCGATACAGCATCTAGCGGTCACAGATCTGATCAGCTCGCAAACCCCACTTTTTACTAGTGAAACTACCGCATGCGGTATCTTTGGGAGCAAAACCGTGGATTGTAGCGATCTCTTGGCACAGCGAAACGTCGCGATCAGTTCTGAGAGGGCGCTGCCCCCGCGGCGGCGCCGGCGGTTAGCGGCCAGCACAGACCACCCCACACAATATTCGATTTCGACGGTCGAGCATCGTGACCCCGACAAGCCTACGCACGCCCGATTCAACACCGCCGACAACAAGTCAATACTGTCAGTAGCCCTTTTTGAAGCCGTCGCAGAGGCTTTCGTAAATGTACAATTTCAACTGACTTGGAAATAGCAAGCGACAATCCCCCGTCCAAAACCCTCCAACCACACATCATGTCTCACGAGTCGGTCTGGTATTCGCGCCCTAGGACTTACGGCAAGGGCTCCCGCGAGTGGTACGTTTGAATCCAAAATTTCGATACACTAGATGGAGGAGGGGGAAGAGGCGCCGATTATATACGCGGCTGGGGCCAGGGCGAGCGCACCGTGTTGGTCTGCGCGAGGGGAGGGATTGGACGCACCTGATGCACCGGGCCAGGATACCAGTACGCGATGGCTAACACAGTACTCACAGCCGCGTCTGCACCCACCCCGCTGGTCTGATCCGCAAGTACGGCCTCAACATCTGCCGTCAGTGCTTCCGCGAGAAGAGCTCCGACATTGGCTTCGTCAAGGTACGTCTTCCGTACCTTACTTCTACAATGTACGCAAACTCACATCGCAACAGCACCGATAGATTTTCTCTCTACCGTACGCTTCGAGGGCTGGAGTAGAAGGCGCATGTGACGACGATGATTACCTGACGATACGATACAACAATGTTACCTCGACCCGACCGCCCCACACGATCAAGCAAGAGGACGGATATGGGTCTGAGATAAAAGGAAAAGCAAGCTGAGAGAGTGGGCTTTGTAGTCGGTTGGGGATGGTTCTGCATGGCGTATTTCCTCATACTGTGTTTACGGGCAATGGGGGATACCCGACCTTGCATGCAATGAGAAATCAATCCTGAATTCACAATACGGCTCTCACCTGTGGTGTGAAGACATGGACTATTGGTGCACTGATGTAGCGAGGGGCGTCTTTCGAAGTCAGGACACATGATGCAGGCTACCATCGACAACTGGGACTTGGGACATGTCACCCCGACACAATATCTCATCATCGACACCCGGTCTTCTTAGTCCTACTATACTACAGTCATGTGTAGGGCGAGCGCTCATCTTCCTCGTCATCTCACAGAACTCGTCAAGCGGGGGATGATACAGTATCGACAGGACAAGCAAACAGCAGATATACATCGAGGACAAGGCAGAAGCATCCAATCTCATTCATACACAGGTATATACGTCGACCTCTTGATATCAAATGCGCGCAAACGAAAGCAACAAAACAAGACGTAAGAGACATGTACAAATTACAACCTTGGCTCATGACATCCCGACGGCCAACTGTTCAAGAAGACGAGAGCACGAGCATCCGTCATCCACCCATCCATCACCGCCATGCCATTTCATTCATCGCCCTTGAATGCCATGAACGAACGGGCAAGGAGACATTATCATCCCTTCTCTTAATTCCACAAACACACGTGTTGCCTACTCCGCCTGAGGCATACTCTCCACCTCTTCACTCAACGCCCTCCAGTTATCCGCCTGCAGCTCCGCATACTTGACACGTTCCTGCGCCCACTCCTGATGCAGTCTACTAACGTGGTATTGCGACTTTTGGAAGAAGAGCAGTTCGTCGCGGATGCATTCCTGGATGAAGACGCCGCGGGCGTGTTGTTGGACGATGGATTCCTTGTCCTAGTATCACACGTTAGAATTGATCTCACTGTGTCAAGAGGATTGAAAACTAACCTTGAAAATGGCATCCTCCACCTTCTCCGCCTCACCGGGCTTGATCTGCTCGGCGGGTTTCTGGCGGATGTTGTGGAGCTTGGTTTCGTTGTTTGCGATGCGCTTTTCCAGTTGGGGGATGTTGTCGCGGGCGTACTTGTCTCGGCGGTCGAACATGTCGCGTACGCTGACTAGAGTGTCTCTCTGTCTCTTCAGGTCTTCGAGCACACCTTCTTCCCATCCTCTTGCTTCGTCTTCTAGCAATTGTCTGCTGGAGTCGAGGTGTCGCGATGTAGCGTTCATGCCCTCGTTCAGCAATGGCACGTCATTTGTGTCGACAGCGTATGTTTCTTGACTTGACTCTGTGAGTCCGCTGAGAGCAGAGGAGAAACGTGCGTATTCGGCTGCCATTCCTTCGTTTCGGCGGGAGAGGCGCTCCATCATGCTGCAGAGGGTGATGTAGGTTTCTGCGCTGCGTCGGACGCCAGATCGGACGGTATCAAAGAGCTCAGGGAGGGTCTTCGGGAGGGAGTCTTCGAGATCTGGTGGTAGGGGTTTGCCGGTAAATTCTTCCTGGACGGATAGGTTGGCTTGTTTGCGCCATACTGCGAGTTCCTGTTCCAATTAGTACGTGCTGGGCAGTCTCCAAACAGATTAAACATACCGTAGGTACTGTCAGGAACATGACTACGAGCTGCTCCTGGTTCAGAACTGGATGCCGTACGAGTGCGTTGGTGAAGCGCGCAAGACCCTTTCTTCGCTTCTCGAGGAAAGTGGCATCCGCAGCTATTGGGTTACCGTTGACTAAGAAATCTCAATACGTATCGAGGCCACAGCAGGATGAGTACTTACTACCGACCCTCTTCGGGGGCAACAATGGCAATTGTCTGAAGGGATACCGCTTGTGCAGACAGTCCAGCAGCCAGACAAAATCACTGTATCGGCGCACGACCTTTGTGGTGCGTTTCGAGCTGGCGACTTCGTAGTTGCGGTGCTGGAACATGAACATGCCCTCTTTCTCTGAGAGCGCAGTAATGGTAATGACCTCTTCGTTGCCACTGCCGCCTGGATTCAGTCGCCCAATGGATCTGCCCAACTCTGGTGTCGCATTGGAGCCACCCTCTCCTCCTGCGGGTGCGCCAAAGCCTTCTTCACCCAAGCCAGGGGCAGCGAATGGCTGGCTCGCTCCGCCATTGTATCCGCCCCAGCCACCTTCACTGCTCAAGGAACTTGGCTGGACGGGCTGCGGGATGTTGGAGGAAGCGGCGGTCGATTGTGTTGTAAATTGGCTCGTCGTTCGTGCGGTTGGGGGTAAGCTCGAGCCGTTGGTGTGCGGTTGGGAGCTTGTATAGCTCGCGTGGCTGTGGCCTCTGTGCAGGTCGGGGCTGCCCCAAGGATCCGCCTCTGGGTCGCCGAAGGATTGCTTGCGCATAGGCGCGCTCGACTTGCTTGCAGGAGACGGTTGCTGCGCAGACGGCTGGCGTTGCGGCGCGGGAGGAGTCGGGGGCTGGGCTTGTTGGGGAGGAGGTGATGGTTCGCGGGCCTTGGTGGACTGCGGCAGCGTCACGGTTGGGACGGGAAGATCTGGCGGGGCGTCAATGTCGTTCTTTCGCGGCATGCGCGACAATGCTAACACTCACTCCTTTTCCTCTCGTCGACGCTGTCTAGGGTGATGTCCTCATGCTCTTGCGCCAACCCAATCAGGGCGAAGACAACATTGAACTCGTTCCTGCCCAGTTCGGCGCTGCCACCAGACGGTAGCACAATCTCGAGGATCTTGGACTGCGCGTGACCGGGGATGTCGCTCTCGGCCAGCAGCTTCTTGACACCCTCCACGCTGACCCCATTGCCTTCGCGGTCGCCAGCATCTAGCAGTGCGTCGAAAGCGTCAATGTACGAGTCGGGCACGTCCGAGGCAGGCAGCAGCGACTTGACGAGAGCTTCGCGTCCGGCTTTCTTGGGCGTGGGGAAGCCCCAGGGCGAGTCGTTGGCGTCGAGGTCGTCTGCGAACAAGCTGTTGCCCGTCTTGCCCGCGGGCTTGGGATCGTCATCGAAGAGCGACGACGACTGCTTCGCGCGCTGCGGCGGGTCATCGTCACCGAATAAAGACATTGTCGCCTGGAGAAGATGCGCGGCCGACTAATTATTTTCAAGCTGCACGTCGTCGATGGACAGAATGCAGGGCCACAGCTTAGACTGGAGGTGCTACACGCGATGATAACATGGAGCTATGATGCGGCGGTGCAAGGAACCGGGCTCCACTAACGCCCGTCCCATGCCCTACCAGATCGTCACAGCCTTATCAATGCCTTGGCACACCTGCTTGACTTTTGACAACTGTAAAAGCAGGAGTTACTGACAAGTGCAAACGTATGATTTACTGATTTATTGATATTTTGCTGTACATGCTATAGCGCTTAATAGATCGCAGTATCCACTGCTCCCCCTGTCGTCGCAGGCTTGCGCCATTCCACCTAAATCAAAGAGCCTGACCTTATGGCCGGCGGGTATCCATCCCTCATACAAACACCAAAGATTTTTTAAGTTCCAATTGCGCCATTCCATGCCAATGCTGTGTGGAGTTTCCACTGTCCTCAATCCATGCCACCAATGCGCCGTTCAATGTGGGGGTATATACGTGCTATCAACGTTCGAAATATAAACAGAAACATGCGAGAGAAGATGGTGTGCCGACAAGCTACCTGTTGTGATCTGTCCGAGTGTGGTTTTCGGGCCTGCTAAAGTCGATGGTTGATGTCGACTCGTCTTGTGGCAACGGTGAACTCGGTGCAGATGGCGGTTGTCGCATCTCTGTCCCAAGACCACCAGTGTTGTGTTGGCGACCAAGCGGGGCTGCCGGCGAGAACCGGATACGGGGAGTGCGTGTGGAGTTTGGCGAGGCCGACAGGTTGACGACCTCGCTTGAGTTAGTCCCTCCATGAGATTGATCTTGTTCGCTCAGAGTTGGCGCACTCGCTTGCTGCGTACCCGCACTAGCAGTGGACTCGTCCTGTTGCGCTTGTTGCTGTTGGCGGATAATGTCCGGAGACCAGGTTTGGCCCCGAGGTTGGGCAGGAATGATTGTGACTGGTAGAGTCGTTTCGTGCTGTGACCCAGGCTTCTTCTTCGACCTGAGCTTTTCGCCTTGCTGTGCGGCAAAGGTACCCAGGCGATCGGCTAGAGCTAGCCCGTTGTAGTTGCGAGGGGGTATGTTGGCTGCGACGTCGTCTACCGCGAGTGGTTCGATGACCTGCCCCCTCTGGAGTTCCTTCGGTGGGGTCCGTCCTTTTCGTCGGAATGGGTTTCCTAAAGCTTGCCATTGGAATCTACTCCGGCTGGTGACAGGTTCCAGTTCTCCTCCCTTTTCAGGATCCTCAGGATCAGCTGGTTGAGCCTGAGGTTCCTGTGATGAGTCTTGTGTTTGTGGTTGTGCTTCACGATTTCCTGGTCGATCGTCTGCCGGTGCGTGCCGAGGATTGACAGGTGTATCGCTGATGGGATGATAGCGGACTGTGTATACAGTCGAGTCAGCACTGGTGGTGTCTGTCCTGCTGACCGGTGATGCGATGACTGGTACCGGAGGCGGGGTCTGCACTCGTACATAGGCCCGCGAGTTGCGGTCTCCACGTGCAGCAGATGCGGACCTTCGCACAACCGGGGGCGGTGCAGGAATGTGGATGGTGCGCTTCTTTCGTGCTTCTGCTCGTGGCGATTCGGTCATCTTGCGTCCAAACCTCTGAGCAAGGTCGTTGAAGCGGCCGGCATGTGCTGATGCTGATGTGAACGCGCCGAATCCGCCGGAGCTTCCCCTACTCTTCTTCTCATCTTTTTCTGATAGCTGACCCTTGCGTTTCGAAGGCCATTTGGAGTCGGATGGGGTGTTGTCGAGCATATCGTCTCCATCGTATATTTCTCTCCCCAAGATTCCGTCT